ATCTATTTGAATGTTTAAACACATTGTTTTTGTAAATACATCCCAAAGACACTGATTAGCTGATCTCTCAAGTGGTGAGGTGGGGTGGGGTCTTCTCCCCACCATTTTGTTCCCCATCTGGACCAGCGAACTCCTCCCCTTAGAAAAAAACAAGAAAACAAACCCTTACATAAGAAACTTTTGAGAGTGGGAGGAGCGGGGAACCAATTTTTTCTGTTATAGCTGAAAGGTAAGGCTTTTTCTTTCTGGACTAAAAAAATTAATCTACAGAAACAGTGGGTGATGCCAACAAATCCACTTGAGGCGCTGGAAGTGATTTCACTTTTACACTCTATGATTAAAAGTCTGATCGCCAAGCGCTCAGGAGCCACATCACGTGGTCCTAAATAGGGATACAGTTTGTAGGGAAACCACATGCCCTGCTTTCCCCTCGCTTTTTGTCTGCCACTCAGGCACTTTCATTATGTGTGACTCTGCGAGAGGGCAGCCAGGGGCGATGGTTTGGGCAAATGAACTGCAGAAGCCAATTACGGCGAGAACATCGGGTGTAATGGGCCCCAGGAAGCTTTGTACCTTTCCCCCACGCGCCACAGTCACTGCCCTGTGCCAGGAGCCAGCGTGATGGAGCGATCTCCATCAGCGAGATGGGAGCTGTTCCAGAAAGAGTCAGGGAAGACGGGGGGGCGTTTATCCCCACCAGCCTGCGTTGTACAGGAAGAGGGGACCAGGATAGTCACGGAAACCCTCTCGAGAGTCAGAAGGACATCATCTTGGCCAACTTCTGCACTCTGCCCACCAAGCCTGGTTCTGGAACCTGGTTCTGGTTCTGGCTTCCTCCCTCAGCCCTCCCCAGGGGGAATTTGGGCCAGAGAAACTAACCCAAACCCATCCCTGGCATCAGAAAATTGAGTTGGGAGGGCCAACACACATTCTGGTTTGAGATTTCCCAAAGACTTCTATGCAGACCCTGTGGGTATTTTTAATTTTTTTTTTTTAACTTCTTAACTTTGGGTGGAACACTTTTTTTCTTTTTAATAAATTTTTCATTTTGGAATCATTTTAGTTTTGTAGAAAAGTTGCAAAGTTAGAGCGAGGAGTTCCCACATCCCTTGACCCCAGATCTCCCCGTGAGCATCTTACGGGTGCACGGGGCACGCGTCACGCCTGAGAAGCGGAGGTTGTTGGCATGTGACTGCAACTGAACTCCAGACTCAGTGCGATTTCAGCAGTCTTTCCATGAATGTTGTCTTTCTGTTCTAGGATCCAGGCCAGGGTCAGGTGGTATCTCTTGATAGATCTTTTAAAAAAAGTGTAATCCTTTGGGAGTTATTTTAATAGGTATTACAAAAATATATTCACATCGACTATGATGACAGCTTGGGACAAATTAAATGATAAAAGCAAGTGGATTTGAAGAAATACGTCATACATATAAATGAAGATGACAGGCAGCTTGGTGATGAGGAACAAGGCAGGCTGTGGTCCAGCCCCTTCCCTTCACAGCCCCACTGAAGGGAAGGGCGTTGTTCAGCGTCCTGCAGAAAGCCGGTCACAGAGTCCCGGCGGGGCGGGATGGAGACCAGCCCAGCGGCCCTTCCATAATCCAACAGCGCCTCTCTCCTGAGCGGAAGGAAGGAAGGAGGTGGAGGAGAGCGAAACTCGCTGGGAAAAAAGTTTCCATTTCAATTATTCAGCTGATCCTTGACCCCTATTACCACGGATAATCAAAAACTGGCTGCATGCATCATGTTTTAAATAAAAACATTGTTGGAGTGGCCCTGAGGACGCGCAGACAGTTAATTGCCTGGGGCACTCGTGCAATTACACTTCTGGGGGGGGGGACACTTCTCTCTCTGCCCAGAAATGATAACAACAGCCATCAGCACAATGTCACACATCTGTGGAGGGCTCCTTGCTAAAGGGGCTCGACAGGTTCAAACCCATTTCTCATCACACGTGGACTGTGATTACAGACTTCTTTTGACAGTGAGGAGAGCGTGTGGAGGATGCTAAGGGGACCTGAACCCGAAGAGGGCAGGGCTTACGTGAAAATCCTTGTGCGTGTGTCCCCGAGGCACGAGGCTGTGGACCCCCAGAGCGAACGTGTCCTACTGCCCCTGTGAGAAGCCCGCTGTGACAGCACTCTACATTTGATCACAGGCCGCTGGGAGCCTTGGAGCTTTCCCACAGCAGGCAGGTGCCCCCTGGTTGTGAGTTTGTAAGTCTCTCAATGTGAGGTCTGAGTTTGGTCAGGAAGTGCCGGAGTTGGTAGGGTTTGTCCTTCAGGAATGTTGACCGAGGGCTGACTGTCCACACCCGCTGGGTGTGCGGTGGAGTGTGTGCAAGGGCCTGGTGGGGACAGAGGGGGGCCCCCGAAGGATCACTTATGACACTTGGGAGCCTGAGAAGGGGCGGAGACATAAAACGAGAGATGTGTTGAGTGTCCATCCCGAGAGAGAGAGTGTCCATCCTCTGGAGAGGAAGGGATCCGGTCTGTCTTGGTTGGTCTTGTGTGGTCTTTGCTCTTCACAAATTGTGTTCCATGGTGTGTACAAGAGTGTTGAAACAAACGTATTCATCCCTTCCTGTTCGTTTATTTAATACGTACTTTTGGGACCACGACGCTGTGCAAGGTGCTGTTCTGGGTCGGTTCAGTGCTTTGAAGAGGCCGCTGCAGTGGGGGAGAGGGAGGCAGGCAGCCGGATGTGGGGGAGAGGAACAGCACCTGGGGATGAGCCCGAGAGACGTGTCTCGTAGTCACTATTGGTTTGACTCACCCGAGGCCCTGAGAAGCACCCTTAGTGCCCTGCTTGCTGGTGAGGCTGGGTGAGGTCCAGGCCCCAGCTTTCCTGCTCAGACTCATCCTCACGCTCGGCCCTGGGGGAACCGGGTGGTGGCTGCACTTAGAGTTGCAAGAAGCGGGCCAGCTGCAGCCAATCCCCCTCCTTGTGGCTTTCTGCCATGTGACTGCACATTTGGGAACTGGGGAAGGTCCCGGGGACCCAACCCCAAAGGCAGGGGATCACTCTGCTCCCCCTCCACAGCTTCTCGACAGGAATGTGTGTGCAGCAGGCGGAAGCACGACGTGGCATCACCCTGGGTGCCTTGTTCTTCCCGCCTTGTCTCACTTGGACATCTAGGGTGTCTGACGACTTCTCCTTTTGCTTCTTTTTCTTTTAGCTGCACAAGATAGCTTTGTTTTAAAGAGCAGTCATTGAAGACTGCAATTTTGCCAAATGAGCCTTGCTCTTGGCAAGGGGGTAATATATCATTTTCCTTTGTTTCCTTGGGGAAGAAAGCCCCCAGAAAGCAAGTTCACCATTCTTTCGAAATAATTTTTCTTTTTCTTTGGTGAGTATTGCCACATGTTTAGCTCACTGGTTATCTGTTGCACCCTCTGGAGAGTTGAATTATATCACGGTGCTTAGAAAAATTGGAAGGGGAGTGATTATTATATCGAGATATAACTCACAAACCATAAAACTCACTCTTCTAAAATGTACGATTTAGGGGTTTTTCGTATATTCAGAAAGTTGTGCAGTCATCACAATTATCTAATTCCAGAACATTTTCAGCACCCCCAAATAAACTCCATACCCATTAGCAGTCACTCCACTCCCTCCCCCGCCCCCAGGCAACTACTAATCTACTTTCTGTCTCTACCGAGTTGCCTATTGTGGACATTTCATATAAATGGAATCCTACAAAATGTGGCCTTTTGTGTGTGGCTTCTTTCACTCAGCATCGCCTCCTCAAGGTTCATCCACGTTGTAGCAGGTGTCAGTGCTTCACTCCCTTTTTATTCCCTGGTGATAGTCCATTGATGGACAGGGCACATTTTGTTTATCCGTTCATCTGTTGATACGTTTATTTTCAATCAACTCCAAACGTGTGTGTGTGTGTGTGTGTGTGTGCGTGCTTTAAGTAGCCCTCGTTCAGGAAACCTTTTCATTAATTTGTTTTAATGAAGTGCATTCAGACTGTAACTTTGGAGAAAAAGGGCAAATCGATGTCCTTTTGGGATATAGAGACAGATTCGTCCCTGAGGCCTTCCTTGTTCTTCCTTGGCTCATCTGGGGCAACATCTGGCCCAGGCCCCTCAGAGAGCGCCTGGCCCTGCCGAGGGAGCCTCGCTCATCCCTCCTTACTCCAGTCTCTGGAGGCTGGATATTGTTGATGGCAAAGTGGGACAAGAAAACATTCCTCTTTCCAGTGGAAAAATGGTGCATTTCAAAGCAACGGGAAACCGCCTACAGGGGCTGACACACCGCCACTCTGCACAGCCAGTTTTGCGTCTGGTCTGCCCTGTCTCACCCCCAAATGCATCTCTTTCCAATGGCTCATTGCCTGGTTTAGAGAACCATTTTGCCTCTTAGCCTCCCCCATTTGGAATAATTGTGTTTTATCCATCACTCTGGTATTTGCTCCTTTCGAAGTCAGAGAGCAGGGCAGGCACCAGGGTGTCGGGAGAGAGGATCTTACTGTGGGTGCAGAATTTAAGGGGCACCCAAAACTCCATCATCAAGACAATATTTTAGTGCAGTACCTTAAAAATAAAAATTAATGCAAACAATTCCATATTGAATGAAATATCAAAATTTAAATAAAGACCGCATCATAGAGATCTTTGAGAGGCCTCCTGCAGTCATACCTGTGATGGAATTGCTCATCTGGGCCCTCAGGAAGCTCCAGGCTTACAGGTGGAGGCTCTGCAGATGCTCCAGCCCCATGTCCAGGAAAATGATGACACTGGCTCTAGTTCATACTATTGCACAGAACAGCCTCATCTTTAAGGCAGTGAGCTGCACGCCTCCACTGCCAGGCAGCAGTCTCTGCTTATGGGTTGTTAGATCAATAGTCACAATTACTAAAAACATGAGTTGTGGCTCTATTTTTTCCCTGTCTGCGTCTATCTCTTCCTGTTTTCTAAGGGTTGCTTCTGTGACATTAAGTAACGTATGAAAATAATTGACTTCCTATTTCTGAGCCGACCCAAGTTTCATCTCTGCTTGAGTCTCCTCTAGGTTGCTCAAAATGGTGCTTTTCTCAGTGAAGCACGGAGTTGACTCAAAGGCCAAGCAATGGGAGACCATCCTTTTTTCTTTCATTTTCTAATACACAGGGAGCATGCCTCCGTCCTCTGAGATGTTGCCTGCAGAGTGGGCACTGGGAGAGGATCCGAAGGCGCCTTCTCGGCAGAGAGTTGCGGCCTCCCTCCGCGGAGTGGGAGCAGGGCCCGCGAGCTCCTGTCTCCTCTGGGCGGCCAGCCCAGGGGTCTTTCCTGGAGCAATGCGTGTCTTCTCAGTTTCAGGCCACGTCATCCATGTTTGAATCGGAGCATCACTGGCTGGAAATACGTCACTCTTCGTACAGGTATGTAACGTGCTCCGCGAAGATAAGCGTACAGAGGATGTCAGTTTTTTAAAAAAGCAACTCTTTTTTTGCCCTCTGTTCTTACGGATATATTTACTTTCAAGCACACAATTAAAAAGAAAATGCTGTGTAAAAATGGATCTGACCCAGTTCAGCAAATCTCTTGTGTGCTTAATGCTACTGTTGCTTTTGTCAAAATATTTACTGCAATTTGTAATGGCTGTCAGAAACGAGGTCCACAATCCATGTTCTTCTAAACCTAAAAACAACCTATAAAGAAATTTGCTGCTTTGTGAGCAGTTTTATTTTTCCAAAGATGGACCTAATTAAACTGAAGATGACGTGACTTGGTTAGAAACATCAGTTATATTAGCTCAAGAGTTTGAAAACAAAATGTACAGTATAATCTAAATAGCAAGATGTTTGATAGAGGTACTATTTATGGCGGTTCTACTGATCAACCACCAAGGGTAGCATTTTTCAATGAGATTTACAAGGGACCATGGACCCTGGAGCATGTATTTATGCACGTATTTGGCTTCCCAGTATCCAAAATAGCAAAGAGATGGAGGGTCTGTCAGATAAGCCGTGGAGCCCATGCTCTGAGAGGTAATGCGCTCCTCCGTTCCCGTAGCAAATCTTTCTGTAAGAATGAAACCAGAGATGTTATCTGCCAGAATGCAACAGGGGACAGGATGCAACTTAGAGAAACGATAACATGAGCTGACTGGGAAAAACAGAATAAATGTCAGGGCCGGTTTAAAATAATGTGCCTTTTGACCACCCTAACATTGCTGCTGAGAGCAAATATTTAGGATCACAAGGTTAATATTAATTAGAGCAAGTGCTTATTTTCTACATCAATCTTGGGGGCTGTGGGAAGGTTCCGAGAAGCCGAAGGATGAAGATTTGCTGCCTCAGTTGCACTTGGAGCGGGAAGTCGGCGGAGGGGGATGCTCATGAAGCCGGAGGACCTGCTGACCCACCTGAGCAGGTCATCCCAAAAGGACCTCACTGATGGCTGGGCTGCTCTGGATGGGTCAAATTCAGGAATTTCTGAAGACTCTGGGGCATCCTTTTCTACGCTTTCTTGCAACCAATTGAGACGTGTTTGCAGGTTTTTGTTGTTTTAGTTCCGGTTTCATTATGATCACTTTGCATCCAGAGCAATGGCAGGGCTTCTCCATAGATAGCAGTGACGTAAGATGTCCTTTAATGTAAGGGTACATAAGGAAAAGTGAGTTGATACAAAGAAAACTATGTCAAGGAAAATGATGTCCATTGAGTCAATGTTTCTCCAAGGGTAGCCTTGTGGCCCTCAGGGCTAGGGACATGGTTTTAGGTAAATTTTAGATGCTGTAGTAAATAACACTGACTCACGTGCTGCAAAGGTTGTTCCTGTTTTAATTCTCTCTCTTTTTATTTACTTACTATGTATTATTTTATAAATTAGCCTTTTTGTTTGGACATAATTGTAGATTTGAGTGCAGTTGTAAGAAATTTTCCATAGAGATTCCATGTACTTCCTTCCCAGTTGCCCTCAATGATAATATTTTCAAATCACAACCCGGAGATTGACATTGATACTGTCAGATGTAGACCATTTCCATCATCACAAGGATCCTTTGTGGCCACACTCACTTCCTTCCTGCTCCCCTCCTCTTAACCCCTGGGAACCATTCATCTGTTCTCCAGTTCCATAATCTGTTTTCAAGAGTGTTACATGAATGGAATCATACAGTGTGTGGCCTTTGGGATTAGCTTTTTTCACTTAGCATAATTCTCTGGAGATTCATCCAAATTGTTCCATGTAATAATTCTCTCTTCTTTATTGCTGAGTAATATTCTATGATACGGATGTACCACAGTTGGTTTAAACGCTCATGTGTTGAAGGACATCTGGGCTGATTCCAGTTTTTGGCTCTTACAAATAAAGCAGTTGTGAACATTCGTGTACAGGCTTGTGTGTGAACATAAGTTTTCATTTCTTGGGATCAATGCCCGAGAGTGCAATTCCTGGGTTGATTGGCAGTTGCACGTTTAATGTTTTTTTAAGAAACTGCTAAACTCTTGTCCAGGATGGTTGTACCACTTCACATTCACGCCAGCGATGTGTCTAGTTTTTCCACATCCTCACCTGCATTTGGCGTTGTCACCATTTTTTATTTCTGCCACTCTGACGGGTGTGCAGTGATATCCCATTGTGGTTTTAGTTTGCTTTTCTCTGATGGCTACTGATGTTGAACGGCCTTTGGTGAGCCTGTTTCCATCTGTGTGTCTTCTTTGCTGCTATATCTCTTCAGGTCTTTTGCTCATTTTCTAATTCAATTGTTGTTGAATTTTTTTTTAATGTTCAGTTTTCAGAGTTCATTATATCTTCTACACATAAGTCCTTTGCCAGATGTGTGGTTTGTGAATATTTTCTCCTGCTCTGTGGCTGGTGTTTTCATCCTCTTCAAAGCAGGGGCTTTCAAAGAGCAAATCTTTTTTGTTGAGGTCCAATTTATTAATTTTTCCCTTTATGACTTAAACTTTTGGTGTCAAGTCTAAGAACTCTTTCCTATGTCCTTGATCCTGAAAATTTTCTCCTAGTTTTTTTCCGAAGCGTTCTATTTGACATTTTACATTTAAGCCTGTTTAGCATGTTGAGTTAATTTTTGTGTAAGTAAGGTGTGAGGTTTATTTTTTTGCCTATGGTTTTCAATTGCTCCAGCATCATTTATTGAACAGGTTTTACTCCCTCCAATAAATTACTTTTGAAACTTTGTTAATAATCAGTTGGGCATATTTGTGTTGGTCTATTTCTGTTTTTTTTCCTTCTTGTTTTTTAATATTAATAGACTTTATTTTCAGAGCAGTTTTAGGTTTGCAGAAATATTAAGTAGAAGGTACAGAGAGTTCCCATATACCCCCTTTCCGCCCTTGGCCACATACACAGTTTCCCCTATAATTAATATATTGGCTTTTTTAACAAAATGCTCTTCTGTTGATCTGTGTGTCTATACCTCTGCCAACACAACATGGGCTTATTGCAGCTATGTGGTAAGTTTTCAAATCAAGTAGACTGATTCTTCCCATTTTACTTTCCTTTCTCTAAATTGAGTTATTCTAGTTCCTTTACCTCTGCATATAAATTTTAGAATAATCTTGCCTATGCCTACAAAAAATCTTGCTGGGATTTTGATAAGAATTCCATCAAGCCTGTATATCAATTTGGGGAGAATTGACATCTTTACTGTGTTCGGCCTTCCAGTCTATGAACACAATATGTCTATTTATTTGGATTTTCTTTGAGTTCTTTCATCACTGTTTTGTAGTTTCCAGCATATAGGTCCTGTATGTGTTTTGTTAGACTTCCATCTATGTGCTTCATTTTTTTGAGTGATTATAAATGGCATCGTATTTTTAATTTTGGTTTCCAATTGTTCATTGCTAGTATATAGAAGTAGAATTGATTTTGTATGTTGATCTTGTATCTTCTGACTTTGCTGAACTTACTTAACAGTTCTATGCAATTTTTTGTAGATTTCTTGGGATTTCTACGTAGGCAATCACGTCAGCTGCAAATAGGAACAGTTTTATTTCTTCCTTTCCTATCGGTATGTCTTTTATTTCCTTTCTTGCTTTATCCCACTGGCTAGAACTTCTAGTACTATGTTGAATAAGAATGATAAGAGGTGCCTCTTTGTCTTGTTCCCAGTCTTAGGAAGGCAGTTTTCAGTTTCTCCCCATTGAATAGAACCTTAGCTGTAGATGTTTTGTAGATGCTCTCAGCAAGTTGAGAAGCCTTCACTCTATTTTTGTTTCCTGAGAGACTTGATCAGGAACAGGTGTTGACTTTTGCCAGAAACTTTTCCTACATTGATTGATGTAATCAAGTGATTTTTCTTCTTTACTTTAATATGGTAGATTACATTGTTGGATCCCTGGAATCCTTGGCTGTGGTGTATAATTCCTAATATTTTGTGAAAGATTTTGCATCATGTTCACAAGGAATATTGCTCTGCAGTTTTCTTTCTTTCTTTCTTTCTTTCTTTCTTTCTTTCTTTCTTTCTTTCTTTCTTTCTTTCTTTCTTTCTTTCTTTCTTTCTTTCCTTCTTTCCTTCCTTCCTTCCTTCCTTCCTTCCTTCCTTCCTTCCTTCCTTCCTTCTTTCTTTCTTTCTTTCTTTCTTTCTTTTTACTGTCTTTGTCTGGATTTGATGTCAGGGTAATACATAGCTTCATACAATTACTTGGGAAGTGTTCTCTCCTCTTCTATTTCCTGGAAGAGGTTTTGTAGAATTGGTGTTAATTCTTCTTTAAACCTTAGGCAGAATTCTTCAGTGAAACCATCAGGACCTGGAGATGTCCTTTTTGGGAGTTTTAAAATTACAAATTCAATCTTCTTAATTGTTATAGTGCTATTCAAATTATTTCATAATAGGTTGAGTGTGGTAGTTTGTGTTTTTCAAAGAATTTGTCCATTTCTTCTAGGCTGTCAAATTTACGTGGATAGAGTTAGTCACAATATTCCCCTATCGTCCTTTTGACGTCTGCAGGTCTGTGGTGATAGTCGCTGTTTCATTTCTGATACTGGTAATTTGTGTCTTCTCTCATTTTTCCTCTCTCAATTTTCGTAGAGATTCTAAAGATCAATTTTATTGTTCTTATTAAAGAGCAAGATTTTTCTTCATTGACTTTCTCTGTTATTTTTCTGTTCCAACTTTTTTGATTTCTTTTTTTTTTTAATTAATGTTATGATAGATTACAACCTTGTGAGATTTCAGTTGTACATTTTTGTTAGTCATGTTGTGGGTACACCACTTCCCCCCTTTGTGCCCTCCCCCCAACCCCCCTTTTCCCTGGTAACCACCGATCTGATCTCCTTATCAATATACTAACTTCCACCTATGAGTGGAGTCATATAGAGTTCGTCTTTCTCTGACTGGCTTATTTCGCTTAACATAATACCCTCGAGGTCCATCCACGTTGTTGTGAATGGGCCAATTTTGTCTTTTTTT